TCATTGGGAGCCAGATCAGGTGAGTAAGGAGAGTGTTCCAATATAGTTACTTGCTGGCTAATAACTCTCTCACAGACAGTGTTGTGTGAACTGGTGCATTGTCATGATACAAGAGCTCCTTTGGGACCATTTTTGCACACACTTTTCTCATGTCAAGATTTTCAGTTAAGATTTTCCTGTTTCGGCCGGGCTCGGTGGCTCAGCCTGTAATCCCGCACTTTGGGAGACCGAGGTGAATGAATTGCCTGAGCCCGCGGGTTCGAAACCCGCCCAGACAACTTGGCGAGACCTCATCTCTACACTAAATCAAAAAGTAGTCGGGTGTGGTAGCGAGCACCTGTAGTTCCAGCTACTTGGAAAGCTGAGGCGGAATGATCGCTGGAGCCCATCAGGTCGAGGCTGCAGTGGCCAGGAGCATGCCACTGCACTCCAGTCTGGGCGACAGAGTGAGACTCCAGCTCAAAAAAAAAAAAAGATCTTCCTGTTTCTCTATTGATATTTACTTGGTCTGTTGTATTTCTCACAGTCAGCCAATGACTTGCACACATAATTCAGCAAATTTTTTCAACATTTTGGTCAGTTCTGCTCCTTACTGGCTATCCTGACTTCTCTTCATCGGTGACACTTTCTGTCCCCTCAGAAAAACATTTAATCTATTTGTACGCTGACATTTTCTTCATGGCATTATCCCCATAAACTTGGAGTAACATGTCCCTGATTTCACTTCCACTCTTGCCAAATTTAACAAGAAATGTGATGTTAATGTTTGCTAATTCAAGCTCCAACATTCTCTGACGGCACACAACAATATGGATTTTAAAAATGTGGTACATATACATGATGGAATATTATACAGCCATAAAGAAGGACAAACTTATGAACTTCATAGCAATCTGGATGGACTGAGTCTATAACACTGAGCAATCTATCACAGAAACAAAGAACTGAGTATCACATGTTCTCACTCATAAGTGAACCTTGAACAATTATCATAATACTATAAGAAAAAGATTGGCAGTAGTAGGAAGTGGGAAAGTGGGGGGGAGACAGGATTGGCAGTAGTGGGAATCTGCCAGGGGAGGAGGGGACAGACTATGGGGTACCTACATAATGAACATTTGCATACCTAACCCTGAATTGTACCCTACATCTTTAAAATTAAATTAAAAAAAAATATATATATATATGCAACAACAATAATGAAGGTCACTCAGCAAGACAATGAGTGACCAAGGAAACAAACGAAACAAAACAAATCCCTTTTCCTGGATGGGGAAACATATCATATTGCAGCTGAACAAAGTACACAAACAGGAACCCGGCTGTGAGACCCTGATATACTAAGGTTATGAAACCTCACCCAGTTGTTGGTACAGTGCTGGCAGCGTAATAAGCGCACAGTGGGAAGTTCGCGAACTTAATTGTCAGACCTAGTACCTTCTCTCTGGCTCTTGACTTTTTCATCTGTAAAATGGAGACATCTAATTCATCTCTAAGGCCCTCACTGGCTCCTGACACTTGCATTTAGAGAGCAATGGTTAAAAACTTTCAGTCGGGGTGGTAACTCATCACTTGGGTGTCTTGAGCCCCAGAGAGGCTTCCAGAAAAGCTGGTTCTGGTATTTAGAAGGGAAAACCCTACGACGTTTCGCAAACTCATGCAGAGCTGCCAGTTCGTCTGTTTCGGAGGTGGCCGGAGCA